CAACGACAAACAAGGAATATTGATATACAGCACGCCCAGGGAGGATGATGCCAAGAAAATGTTGGACCTGAAAGTCATAAAGCTCGACGGCAAGGAGTACGAGGTGAAGACATACATGGCTGCGCCTGAAAGCTGTGGCAAAGGAGTGGTACGTAGACTTGATATCAGACTCTCCGAGAGAAAATTGGAACTAGCTTTCTCACACTAAAAGAATCGTCCTATTCTTGGTGTGCGAAGGATGGGCAACTCCATTTCAGTAATCATCACCTTTGTTGACGACTACGTGCCGAGATGAATGATCTGCTTTGGGACGCCGATGAAACATTGCTTTCTCTACAAGAAGAGATATGAAGTGTGTTACAAGTGTGGTGACCTGGGACATCAATCCGACGTATGTGACAGCCCGCACGAAAAATGCAGAGGTTGTGGGGTGGCCTCCCCACCTAAGGACCATGAATGTACGCCGAGGTGCCGTCTGTGTAGCAAGGAGCACGTGACCGGAGACAAAAGGTGCAAAGAACTTTTTCGGACACCTTGTATAATAAAGAAGCGACAGTGGGAAATGAAGCTTGAAGAGGTGCGGAAGCAAGAAGAACGACACAAGGCCGAAGAGGGCACGCAGCGGCACAGCAGGACAGACGGGGTTCAAAATCGTTCGAGGTGCAAATCCAAGCATCGAAATAGATCGAGAGGGCGCTCGGAATCCTTCCCCCGATTGCCACTGCTAGAGAAGCCGGGAGTTTCTCACAAGGCATTCCATGATGGTGGTGATTGTGCCCAGGAGAAGTCAAAATCCACAGGACCACAGGTGGGTTGGGTAACTAAGGTCTCCCAGGATGCTAATACAGAGACGATTAATGCTCTTAAAGAGCAAAACAGGATATTACAGGAGCAAAATGTGGAATTACACAAACAACTTGATGAGATTAAGGCTCATCTAACCAGTAAACCAGGGAAGGCGCTGGAAACACCCCAGGTAGCAAACCAACCGCCTTTAAAGAAGAAGAGGGCTAAAGAAACCGAAATTGAAGAAAATAACAGAGCAAGAATTGAAGCGCTTGAGGTGGAAACAAAGTCATTACAAGGTATGCTCCAAGCTGTACTAAAACAGATGAAACAAGTAGGCGATGCTATTGAGCAAATTAAGGCTGAATTTGCTAGCAGGGACCGACAGATAGAATGGCTATGCCAAGCGCTCAAGCTAAACCATGATGACTCTGCACCCTTACACAGTAATACGATTTGGCAGTGGAACTGTAGGGGTTTCTCGCGCAAACGTGCGGTTTTACAATCTTTTCTTACCAACGCCGATTGACCAGAGGTTATTGCGATCAAGGAGTGTGAGAAAAATGCAAAATTAGCAGGTTACAAATCTTTTGCCGGGTCGGGTAATGATACCCAAGTTACGACCTTCGTAAAGAGAAACATTACGACATTGCAGCACGAGACGGAGAACTCGCAGATCGATCATGTTTCAGTCGAACTCGTGCCTCGCAAGCGCAAAGACAAAAGTCTTTTTATCCTGAATGTGTATAGTTCCCCCAGGCAGTGCAAAATCAACTTTGGCGATCTTTTCACGAAAACAAAGGTTATTTCAGCAAATGGTCTACTATTGATTTTGGGCGACTTTAATGAGCATCATACGGAATGGGGTTATGAATTCACCCAGGTTAAGGGCAGAAATTTGTGGAACGAAATTCAACAACATGAGCTCATACTTATAACAGACCCAATGCAGCCAACGAGAAAAGGAAATAGCGTATCTCAAGACATGACGCAAGATCTTACCCTAGTCAGCAGTGCCACCGCCGCCACATGGTGCAATACCGGCGAAGACCTAGGTAGTGATCATAGAATTTTAGAGATTATCGTAGCCAATGGCCCGCTGGTGATCAATAAGAGAAAAGTTAAAACTACAGATTGGGTGACCTTTAGAAATATCAGGTCGGAACAAGACCCCATAAATGATATTTACGATTGGAGTAAAGGGGTGATCCAGTCGGTTCAGCACGCTACCGAAGAGATTGACGCTGCCGATGAGGAAGTTGTTGATAGACATCTTGTAAGCATGTGGAAGAAAAAGAAAAACCTAGAGCGAAAAATCACTCAGAGAAGAGGAGACAGAAATCTCCGAAAGGAAGTTGCTGCATTGAATAGAGAGATCGAAGATTATGCATAGGAACTTACCAAGCAAAAGTGGGGTAGTATCTGTGATCAGATGGATAGAGAGATTGGCAGTGCTAAAACATGGCAGCTACTACGGCATCTATTAGACCCAGAGAAAACCAAGTCGAAGGCCCGACAGCAACTTCAAAAGCTTGTGTATAAATGTGAAGGTCAGACGACGGAATTATTAACGGAGGTTAGGGATCGATACCTCTGCTGAGCAGGATCTCAAAAGCTCCCCGACTATGCTGGTTCAGAAAACCCGGACCTAGACAGCCCCATCACGGTTGGAGAAGTCAGGGCTCAAATTAATCGACTTAAAACAAAAACTGCTGCCGGTCCGGACAAAATAAACAACAGAATGCTCAGGAACCTTGACGACGGCTCCATTCGTCAACTTGCAGCTTATATGCAAGAATGCTGGGACAAGGGAGAAATACCGCAAGCTTGGAAAATGGCCAATGTAGTCTTCATTCCTAAGCCAGAGAAAAAGCTCAGTCTGGAACATCTCAGACTCATTTCCATCACATCTTGCGTAGGAAAATTGATGGAGCACGTCATCCAAACAAGACCGACTAGGTTCATGGAAGATGAAAACCTGTACCCTGATACTATGATAGGCTTCAAATCCCACCTATCGACGTGTGATGTTATGCTACAGCTAAAGGAGGAGATAATAGACAAAAAGACTGTTGACACCAAAGTAATTATGGGTCTGGACGTCTCCAAGGCGTTTGACAATGTCAAACATGAAGCTTTACTTAAGAACCTTAGTGCGCTAAACGTAGGCGTCAAGACATACAACTACGTGAGGGGCTTTCTCTCAAATCGTACAGCCACTATCAGCATGGGAGGGCAGTCGCTTGAAAACATTAAATTGGGGAATAAAGGGACGCCACAAGGGTCTGTACTCTCTCCGACTCTAATATAGCGATGATTGGACTTCCCGAGAAGTTGGAAGGAATCGAAAATCTGCATCACACAATTTACGCAGACGATCACATCGCTGTGGATAAACAGGGGTAGTGACGGACATATTGAAAGCGCACTTCAGGCGGCTATAGATACCATCGAACAATATCTCGAACCACTAGGGTTAAATTGCTCGGCAGAAAAATCAGAGGCTCTTTTTCTACCATCGCAAAAAAGGAAAACAAACAATCCCCTCGGAAGGGTTTGTGACATCGCTTTGCGAGTGAATGGTAATGCTATTCCAACCGTAGACAGTATTAGAATTCTAGGGATGCGCATACAAGCAAATGGAAAAAACACTGAAACTATCCGGAGACTCGAAGCTAGTGCGAACCAGACGTGCCGCCTGCTTAAGCGCATTTCTAACAGGAATGCGGAGATGAAGGAAGCCAATTTTTTTAAGATTAGTTCAAGCTTTCGTGATAAGCCGTGTACTATATGTTGCCCCTTATCTTAAATTAAGTAGAGCAGAAAAAGATAAAATTGAAGCCATTATAAGGAAAGGCATCAAGACTGCGCTAGGGCTTCCCCCGAACACCTCTACGGTTAAACTTCTTGGGCTGGATGTCTCCAACACTTTAGGTGAACTAACAGAAGCCGCCATGATGTCACAGCACCAAAGACTTCTGAGAAGTAGAACCGGGAGGAAAATCATGGAGAGCTTGGGGTTCGAGCCCACGGAGTGTCCCAGGCAGACCGCTAGCATACCTAAATCAACTAGGGCGAGACTGAAAATTATACCGCTGCCGAAAAACATGCATCCGGCGTTTCATGAGGGCAGACACAAAGCTAGAGCTGTAGCCCTGCAGGCGAAACTTGAACGTCGATCTGGCGTGCTTTACACGGACGCTGCAGAATACGAAAGAAAGGGAGCACACACAGCGGTAGTGGTTCGCGAGAACGGGGACCTGGTCTCGTGCTGCACCTCTAAGAACACAACCACCACAGAGGCAGAAGAACTTGCGATTGCTTTGGCAATAGCTCAAAAAGGCACACGAGTGATTGTCAACGACTCTAAGTCAGCCATTAAAAACTACGATATGGGCAGGATCTCTGCTACAGCCATCAAAATTCTAAGACAAGGAGCAGTAGCCGCAGAGCTAATCTCACTAGTATGGTCCCCGGCCCATCAAGGTCTGAAAGGGAATGAGAAGGCGCACGCGATCGCCCGAGGGCTCGCTTTCCGGTCGATCGACACTGACCCGCCGCCTTCGCGCGAGCAGCCCCTCTCCACAAGAGAGGGGCTACGAACGTTTCAGGAAATCACCGCACACTATAAACTCCACCGTAAGATTTATCCAGAGGCAGCCAAACAGCTGAGCAAAAAGGAGGAAATTATGTGGCGAAAATTGCAAACCGGGCTGTTTCCAAACCCTCAACTGTACAGTAAATGGCACCCGAAAGCGTTGAACTCCAGATGTGCACACTGCAACAGCACTGCGGGTTTAGTGCACATGGTATGGACCCGCCCATCTTACAATGATCCAAGTAGAAACGTAGAATCCTGGGAGGCCTTATTACACAGCCATGACGCCGAAGAACAGCGTCAAGTCATCGGTCTCGCCCTGATCACCGCCGAGTCCCAAGGAATTCCGGCCGATGACTAGGGGGATGATTGGGGGCAGAGGCCGAAGCCTCCTCCCCTGTCATTCTAGACGGGTGCAATAAACATTATTTCTCTCTCTCTCTCCGGAAAGGGGGAGGGAGGGGATCTCTTTATACTTTAAAATAGTTTGTGCCGCGGCTGGGATCGAGCCTGTGAGCCAGGTACCAATCACACTACACAAATCACTTTACCATCGAGGTGGACTGCAGAATGCAAAAGGGGCGGGAGAAAGGACGACAAGAAAAGCACCACTTACCCTACTCGCGGATCCAGCGCCAAGGCTCTAGGGCGGCGGACATCGCCCACTACGGATGCCCGCATGGAACCATCACACCTCGAAACCTCTATTTCTTGGTGCCTGCTCTCCACCCAGTAGAGATTGCACGCAATCCAGTCCACGGCCAGGCCCTCCACTGACTCCAGACCACCCGTCACGACGGAGCGCACATCTTTCAGTCCTGAGACAGCAATATCGGCACTTGTGTAGCCAAGCTAAACAGGCAGACGACTCACTCACTCACAATATGTAAATTTCATGAAAGTTTACCAGCACAGGCACGTCAAATATGTTCGGACAAGCCGCATAAGCAATTTATCTTATGCCCCATTTGTCCTTCCTTCCCTCTGCTCATACGCTCACATGCACAGACACAGCGCTTCGCCATACAGGTGCCACAAATGTGTACCATGTTTCGCTTGCCCTCCACAAGACGTCTGGTCGATAAGTTGCAACATTTAGACAACATATATTTTGAAGACTAAGGATTCGATAGGAAGGGTCACAGACACCCGATTTTCAATCATAATCTGCGTCATGTGTGTCAATCCTTGTGTGTTCACAAACAAGCTGGAGACATTTTAGCTCATTTGGTGGAACACTTAAGAAAACTTAATTCAACATCTTTTAAAACATGCGAGCGACCTGAAAGTGGGCAACACTGGCACATACGCAAGCCGTGACGTAACAAGCTGCTTGCTTGGCAAGCGTATGCATTCTGGCGAACGATTTAGTTCCGTTGTGAGCGTGTGCGATCGAGCTACTTCAGTTTTCTTCCGCTTGACATTGATTTTTCACCGCGGCTGGAACTTCAGTACCAGACGAAGGCTCAGCTCATGAAGCACATGATGACGTCACACATGCCATGGCAGAATGGCGTTCACCGGCGCTGAACAAGGTTTACAGCCAGCGTGCGCACGCACGCACGTGCACACACACACACACGCACATTATTAAGAAATAAAGGAGCACACTTACAAAAATTTGATAGTTGTTTACTCTATCTTTCAGCCGTGGCACGGCCGAAATCCAGACGAAGGCCGTGCCACGGCCGAAACGTAGAGTAAACAACTATCAAATTTTCGTAAGTGTGCTCCTTTATTTCTGAATTATATTTGCACCGGACCCACAGAACTTTTTTGAATCATATACATATACACACATACACACATACACATATACATATACACATACACATATACACATACATATACACACATACACACATATACATATACACACATACACATATACACACATATACACACATACACACATATACATATACACACATATACATATACACACATATACATATATATATATATATATACACACATATACATATACACACATATACATATATATATATATATATATACACACATATACATATACACACATATACATATATATATATATATATACACACATATACATATATATATATATATATATATATACACACATATACATATATATATATATATATATATATATATATATATATATATATACACACACTCCCTCACAGGGAGAGGGCACACGGCGCCGTGCCCCCCTCCTGGGAAAGAGAAAGGGCCCGTGGCTAGAGAAGATGCGCTCTCTTCTATCTTTCTCTCCATATGAGGGCTCGGCGCCACGTCAAAAAGACACGCGCCGACGCGCTGCAACAGATACGAGAGGTGAGGCCTCAAGTTGACGGGCCTCATTTTCGTTTCCATCGAAAAAGCGGACGCCGTGGCCTAGATTCGATCCCACGACCTGCGGGTCATTGATTGATTTGTGGGGTTTAACGTCCCAAAACCACCTTATGATTATGAGAGACGCCGTAGTGGAGGGCTCCGGAAATTTCGACCACTTGGGGTTCTTTAACGTGCACCCAAATCTGAGCACACGGGCCTACAACATTTCCGCCTCCATCGGAAATGCAGCCGCCGCAGCCGGGATTTGAACCCGCGACCGAGTGCCTTAGCCACTAGACCACCGCGGCGGGCCTGCAGGGCTCATTTTAGACTGTTGCACTGAAAGTGAGCTGTATTAAAATTAATACAGCTCACTTTTTTCTACATGTGTAGGAATAATAGGCCCACTGCGATGTTTGATTCACAGTAAACCGCAATTTTTTCGAGTGACACGTGTTACGGCTACTTATGGCACCATGGTGCTGCTAGAAACCCGGCCCTGCTCACGTTTGCTTTGCCAACACGTACAAACGCTCAAAAACCAATCAGATCGATCACATGGGTGCCATTACAAAACAAGGCCCAACCCAAAATGAGTAGCTGAAGAGTGGCTGTGGTGGCCCTGCGCCATCTGTACCAATGCGTGCGTCAGTTCTATATAACGTCACGGATTTTACACATACTGCTCAAGTCGGGCTGTTTATTATCAAAGGGACATATTCTACTGGCTCAATGTGTGTGTGTTTTTTTTAGAAAAACTTCAGCATCCTCAACAGATCCCCGCAGAGAGTTTGCGTTCACAGCTCCACTTTTTTTTTCCTTTTTTTTTTTTTGAAGGAGGGTCTTGCATCCTATAGTCAAATAGAACTTACGAGTGATAGATTGATATGTGGTGTTTAACTTCCCAAAACCACCATATGATTATGAGAAATACCATAGTGGAAGGCTCCAGAAATTTCGACCACCTGGGGTTCTTTGACGTGCACCCAAATCTGAACACACGGGTCTACGGCATTTTTGCCTTCACTGAGAATGCAGCCGCTGCAGCTGGGATTCGATCCCGCGACCTGCGGGGCAGCAGCCGCAACTTAAAGGGGTACTGAAATACTTTTTGAGTAACCATGTAATTAATTCACTGAAAAAGCGTAGTACCTCACAAATTGAACGCCGCAAAAATTTTAAGAACACGTCCAGTACTAGCGGAGTTGCAAAAGTTTGTCACACGCTGCAATCACATTCTCGCTTCTCTCGTCCCGACAAAAGCGAGAAGCAGGGGGGAATGGGGGGGGGGGGGGGGGGGGGGCAAACAAGAAACATCACTCGCGCCTCGTGACTTTAAGCATTTTTTTTTCTTTGAATACGCGGCTTTCCCAGTGCCACGGACGGCTATTTTTGGCGACACCGCGTCACGGCAATTAACGGGCGCCGTACTCCCCGACTGACCGTGAGAAACGGCGGCGCATGAAAGGGAGCCGAGAAGTGCAAAATGGGGTGCTCTTCTTAGAACGTCGCCACCGATGGTTAATCCTTTTGTAACTGTGGCGGCGTCTGCAAGGTCGTAGAAGGCCGCGGTATACCCCGAAAAAGGATTAGACTACGAGACACACCGGCGGAGAGCCAAACGTTTGACCGTTCCCACGGGGAAAAGCGTGGGAAACGCTCTGGTGGCCAAGCCGTATGACAACAACCCGACAGGTTGTCACTCTCGCTAGTTGAGGGCCCTCTCCCAATTAAAAAGGGGTGGGGTCAAAATATTTTTGGGGCGGAGTTTCCCATCAATTAAACGCGCATGATTGGACCCAGGTAGAGGTCTCTTGTCCCCCAAGGAAGAGAGCGAGGAGACACGAGGGGGATTTAAGCGCAGGATTTTGCCCTGCTAGGCAGACTAGTCGCTGACCAAGATGGTGTAGAAACAGATCAACAAGCATCTCTTCTAGAAGTTTTTAGTGTGGCTCTGTATCGGCTGGCCACCTAAACTTAGCCGTTCGTCTAGTTGTGACGCGATATTAACGTCTGCAACGTAGACATCGGGACTTCGCCTCGAGTTAGCTCAACCTGCTCGAAGTCACCTGCAAGCACTAGCCTCCCGGAACCACCAGCGTTGCAACACCGCCGACATCGCAGTCGTGCCAGAACTCTCTTCGACTTCTCGCATCCGATCGTCGGGGACACAACGCTGCCGGTCATCACACGTATGCCTTCACCTGTTTATATCTTCGAACTTTTCTACTCCGTCGTTCTATTGTTGTTAGTTTGTGTAGTTTGTAATAGTTCTCTCGCGTAAGCTGATTTATTGTTTCTGTTATATATTTCTTTAGTTGTATCAAGTGTCGACGTATTTTGTTAGTTGTATTGCAGTGTTGTATTAGATCCCGTGTTGCTGCAATATCACTAGAGTAAAGTTGTTTTGTTTTCTCACGTCTCTGATCTCTTCACTGTCTCTGCTTGCGTACGGAACGAACCAACCTGCTGTCATTCCCGTCGCCGAGTTCGCGCTGGCGACGCTAGAGTGGCAGCTTGTAACACCCAGTGCGATTTCGCGCGCACGCGTGGACAAGCGACGGCTTCTCGCGGCGACCTCTGTAACAACGGAGCACGCCATGTTCAAATCGGTCAATGGCTGATAGATGAGCTTACTGGGTTTATTTTCCGTGATTTGTCGAGAGAAGAGAAAGCTATTTTTAGCTGACTGATCATTTATTGCGAATTCCAGGACGCGTGTAGTGCTATAATTTTAGGCTGGCGCGTTATCGGGAGCCTCTACTATCGATCGGCAGCGTTTTCTGACCATGCTCAAAAAGTGTTGCAGGGCCTCTTAACAAGTCTCCAGATTTTCCTCCTCTAAGGCGGATGCACGCGATCTTGCACCAACGGGCGCGCACTACAGACCGACATGAGCTGGCTGGCCGGTGACCCCGTTTTCTGAGAACATTGCTGGGTGCATGAACGTGGCTATTTTAAAGCGGTAGCAGTAAAGAGCTCGTTTCGCAAAAATTTTGGTATCAGATCTATAGTGTCGGTTGCGGGCGAAAAAAAAAAACACCTTATCCATGACCAAAAACTCAAGATGCAAATAAAAAAACGGAAGATCCAACTAACTGGGAGAATCAATGTCATGCTGGGATTCCCACACGGCGTGTTGGGAGTATCCAGGCAGAGTAAGCTTCACCACTGGGGCGACGCGTCACAGCCCCTCGAAGCCCGCCTGTACCCTGTTTAGCTACCGGTGGGTGGCCGGCCGGCACTGGGGATCGAACCCCGCACCTCCCGTAGCTGAAGCGGACGCGTACGTGCAATGCCACAGCTACGGTGATCAATGTCATGCTGTACTTGAAGCTCATGTCATGATTGCTATGCTAAGACTATGTTCGTCACACAGTCAAGTCGCACAATAATTTGATTCGATTTGTGGGGTTTAACGTCCCAAAACCACCATATAATTATGAGAGACGCCGTAGTGGAGGACTCCGGAAATTTTGACCACCTGGGGTTCTTT